CCCCCCCCCCCCCCCCCCCGCCAAAAAAAAAAAGTGGTAATTGTGTGTGTGTGTGTGTGATTTATACTGTCAGCTTCTAGTAGGTTGTTTTTTGTTTTTGTTTTTTAATCCTTTCTCCTTAAATATTAATGTTTAAATTGTAATTTACTTTCAGGTCCAAAAGCAGCATTGACTGCAGACGAAATGGCTGATTTTTACAAGGAATTTTTGAGCAAAAATTTTCGGAAGCACATGTATTATAACAGGTAACTGTTTATGCTTGCTTTCTATGCTATGGGTTCAGGTGTCCCATCTAGATGGAGAAAGCTTGCTTTCCTTGTTCAGGTGTCCCATCTAGATGGAGAAAGCTTGCTTTCCTTCCTGAATGGAAAGGCGTGGTTCCCATGGGAGGTGGCAGCCATGGTTTGGTCAGCATCCCTTTTGCCTTGTTAAGTAAGACTGACAGCCCCAGGGCATTTGCATAGTACCCCATTCCTCTTGTTCTGCCTGGAGGGCTATACCTAGGCTCCCTGTCCCTCCTTGGAGAAGCCTCAGTCCCTCTGGGGCAGGAGCTGGACCTGGGAACTGTGGTGGAGGGAGGGACAGGCTGGAGGCTCAGCCCAGGGCCTAGCCAGTCAGCCTTTCAGAGAAGGGACAGCAGGGTATTAAAAAAAGGTTAGAAATTAAACTGGGCACTGGTGGCTTAAGCCTGTAATTGTAGCTACTGGGGGCTGAGATCTGAAGATCTTGGTTCAAAGCAGCCGCAAACAGATCTAGAAGACTTTTATCTCCAGTTAACCAATCAAAGCTAGAACTGGAGTTGTAGCTCAGATGGTAGAGCACCAGCCATGAATGAAAAAGCTGAACAAGAGGATGCAGCCCTGGGCTTAAGACCCAGTACTGGCACAGAAAAATAAACCATGTTAGGACGTCAGGTTCACAGATGTCTTTGTGTTCATGAATTTATGAAAGTTTATGTGTAGCCAGGAGTTGGTGGCTCACGCCTGTCATCCCAGCTACTCTGGAGGCTGAGATCTGAGGATCAAAGTTCAAAGCCAGCCTGGGCAGGAAAGTCCATGAGACTCTTATCTCCAATAAACTACCAGAAAACCCGAAATGGTGCTGTGGCTTAAGTGGTAGAGCGCTCGCCTTGAGATGAAGAGCTGAGGGACAGCGCCCAAGCCCAGAGTTCAAGCCCCATGTCGGACAAAAAAAAAGTCCATGAAACTCTCATCTCCAATAAACTACTCAGAAAAAGCCAGAAGAGGCGCTGAAGCTTAAATGGTACAGTTTTAGCCTTGAGCACAAAGAAGCTCAGGGACAGGGACTAGGCCCTGACTTCAAGCCCCAGGACCGAGAAAAAAAAAAGTTCATGTGTAGCTATGGCAAGCCCACCGAATCATTATTCTGAAAATTGCTAAGTTGAAGGAAAGAATCATGGGCTTTACCCAGGCAGCCTCCCTGCCTTTCCTGCTGCAGAGGTGCTGCTTCAGGGGAACACGTGAAGAACCCTTCCCTCTGTAGAGACGGCAGTGCAGAGGAGTCGATGGGTCGGCCAGGGGTGGCATTCCTAGTGCCCAATCCATCCGGGCCACCGCCACCCGAAAAGCCCACATCGATGGAATGTTATGGGTCCAGTCAGTGGACAGCCTGGGGCTGAATGTACTCGCCCCGGGGACACAGCCTGCGGGGCAGAGGCACGGACCACACCCTGTGAGCTGTTCTTATAGAAGACAGTGCTATATCAAATCTAAGTGCGGGTTTATTGACAGAAGGTTTAGGGGCACGGGAGGGGCACGGAGCCTGCTTTGAAGTGACAGCCTGAGAAACGCAGTGTGTGGGAAATTACACCAGCCATCCAGCTCTTCCACAGCAGTTAGAAAAAGAATAGCAGTAAAGTGTGGGGTGCTGTGGAGACTGAGTTTAGTACTTGTCCAGACCTTTTTGGGTCCTGAGACAAACTGCCCTTGATGGGGTATTTGGACAGATGATTGGATGATGACGGTGTCCCAGGAGGAGCCGCAGTGGTGGTGGTGCTGTGGTGACGGTGTCCCAGGAGGAGACACAGTGGCGATGTTGCTATGGTGACAGTGTCCCAGGAGGAGCTGCAGTGGTGGTGGTGCTGTGGTGACGGTGTCCCAGGAAGAGCTGCAGTGGTGGTGTTGCCGTGGTGGATGGTGATGGTGTCCCAGGTGGAGACACAGTGGCAGTGTTGCCATGGTGACAGTGTCCCAGGAGGAGCTGCATTGGTGGTGTTGCCATGGTGACAGTGTCCCAGGAGGAGCTGCAGTGGTGGTGTTGCCATGGTGACGGTGTCCCAGGAGGAGATGCAGTGGTGGTGTTGCCATGGTGACGGTGTCCCAGGAGGAGATGCAGTGGAGGTGTTGCCATGGTGACAGTGTCCCAGGAGGAGATGCAGTGGTGGTGTTGCCATGGTGACAGTGTCCCAGGAGGAGATGCAGTGGAGGTGGTGTTGCCATGGTGACGGTGTCCCAGGAGGAGATGCAGTGGTGGTGGTGTTGCCATGGTGACGGTGTCCCAGGAGGAGCTGCAGTGGTGGTGGTGTTGCCATGGTGACGGTGTCCCAGGAGGAGATGTAGTAGTGATGTTGCCATGGTGACGGTGTCCCAGGAGGAGATGCAGTGGTGGTGTTGCCATGGTGACGGTGTCCCAGGGTGGTGGTGTTGCCATGGTGACAGTGTCCCAGGAGGAGATGCAGTGGTGATGTTGCCATGGTGACGGTGTCCCAGGAGGAGATGCAGTGGTGGTGTTGCCATGGTGACGGTGTCCCAGGTGGAGACACAGTGGCAGTGTTGCCATGGTGACGGTGTCCCAGGAGGAGCCGCAGTGGTGGTGCTGCCATGGTGACGGTGTCCCAGGAGGAGCTGCAGTAGCGGTGTTGCAGTGGTAGCATGCGGCTGCTCACTGGCGCAGCAAGACGACCTGTGCCCGTGGGTGAGATGACAGGTCGCAGCCCTTTGGTGGTGACGGGGCTGACTGAGGCAGGGCCGTCCGGTGCCGAGGTGGGACTGCCTGGCTCCCTCAGAGCTGGTGGTCCTGCTCACCCCTCCTCTGCTGTGTCTTTCTGGGAAAGGGAACATTTAACAAAGAGCACTGATACCTGCTGAGCCAGCCTGGAAGGGGAGGGAGGGAGGGAGGGGGTAGGTGGGTGGACAGCCTGGGGGGCGGCAGCCTGAGTGAGGTCAGCCCAGGCTCCAGCCCGCGTCTCCCCTTTGTCTGCAGAGACTGGTACAGGCGCAATTTCACCATCACCTACTTCATGGGGAAGGTGGCCTTGGAGAGGATTTGGAGCAAGCTGACACAGAAGCAAGCGAAGAGGAGCGGCTAGCACTCCCCTCCGGCCTGCAGCCTCCCGCTGGCCAGGCCACGCTGAGGGGCCTGGCAAATGCTGCAGTGACCACAGCCCCATGATTTTGTCTGTGGCTCCGCGTGGCGTATTGTCAGGAATGTTGTCAATAAAGCTCTGAGCGCTGTGCCTGCTTCTGTGTCTTGAATCACACCAGCTCAAAATGTAGTAATGCAAACATGCTTTTAAAATTAGGCCCCTGGGCCCAGAGTCCTCGCTATTTAAGACTATCGTCTAAAGATCACAGTTCAAAGCCAGCCCAGGCAGGAAAGTCTGTGAGACTGTTATTTGCAATTAGCCACCAAAAAATCTGAAAGTAGAGCTGTGGCTCAAGTGGTAGAGTGAGTGCCAGCCTTGAGCAAAAAAGCTCAGGGACAACGCTCGGATCATGAGTTAAGCCCCAGTATTAGCTCCCCCCAAAAATAATGAAAATTGAAAGTAAAGGGCTGGGAAGGTGGCTCCAGCGGTAGAGGGCTTGCCTTGCATGCATGAGGCCCTGGGTTCGATTCCTCAGCACCACATAAGCAGAAAAGGCCAGAAGTGGCATTGTGGCTCAAGTGGTAGAGCACTAGCCTTGAGCTGAAGAGCTGAGGGACAGCACCCACGCCCCACGAAAGACAAAAATGAAAGTAAAAACCTTGAAAAAGTTAGACCACTGGGCACTGGCAGCTCTCCTACAGTTCTAGCTACTCAGGAGGCTGAGACATGAGGAATAGTGGTTCTCAGCCAGCCTGAACAGAATAGTTTGCAAGAGTCTATCTCCAACCTGGGCCCTGGTGCCTCACACCTGTAATCCTAGCTATTCAGGAAGCTGAGATCTGAGGATCACAGTTTGAAGCCAGCCCCAGTAAGAAAGTCCATGAGACTCTTATCTCCAATTAACCACCAGAAAACCAGAAGTAGACCTATGGATCAAAATGATAGAGTGATATCCTTGAGCAAAAAAGCTCAGGGACAGCACCTGGAACCTGTATTCAAGCCCCAGTACTGGTGTGTATGGGTGTGCGTGCGTATGTGTGCGTGCACACACGCACACACGCACACAGACCCCCATGAAGGGAGTAATTCAGGTGGCTGCTGAATGAAGTGACTAAACGAGGCAGCAGAGATGGGGGGCTCAGGCTCCAGCCCTGATGGCGGCACAGTCCCGGAACGGGGATGGTACAGCACCTGTCCAATGCTGTGATGGCTGGCCAGGCTGCACACAGGCTTCCCGCAAAGTTCTAGGGGCGTGGTCACGGGCCATGAGGTAGAGCAGGCGCTGTGTTGAGCATGCCTTGAGGTCCCTCAGGAAGACGCAGCTCCAGCCTCCAGTGCCACACAGACGGGCTCCAAAATAAGCACAAAAGGCACCAGGAGTCTGTGTCTGGGACATCACCCTGTAGCTCTCCCGTGATTGTCCCCTAACCGCGCCCGTTGGTTATGAGGGCTCAGGGCCACAGAAGATCTTGGCAACTGAAAGACTCGTAATCTGTGTGGTGGCCTTTCTTTTCTGCCCGCGGATGGCGCTCTATCACTTGGGCCATACCTCCACTAGTTTTAGCTGGTTGATTGGAGATAAGAATCTCATGTGCTTCTCTGCTTGGGCAGGCTTTGAACCAAGTCGTCTGTGTTGATGGGATCACAGGCATGAGCCACCAGTGTCCAACTTTCTGTAGACTTTTACATCTATAGAATAAAGCTTATCAATGCTGTATTTAATTTTATTTTTTTGCCAGTCCTGGGGCTTGCACTCAGGGCCTGGTCACTGTCTCTGAGCTTCTTTTGCACTCTACCACTTGAGCCACAGCACCACTTCTGGCTTTTTCTGTGTATGTGGTACTGAGGAATCAAACCTAGGGCTAAGTGCATGCTAGGCAAGCACTCTACCACTAAGCCACATTCTGAGCCCAGTATTTAATTTTAATTTCCATATACCATGCTTGCTTGATAAAATTCTCAATTTTTTTATTTTTTTGGGTCCAGTCATGGGGCCTGAACCCTGGGCCTGGGCGCTGCCCCTCAGCTCTTCAGCTCAAGGATAGCGCTCTACCACTTGAGCCACAGTGCCACTTCCAGCTTTTTTCTTTTTGCTTATGTGGTGCTGAGGAATCGAACCCAGGGTCTCATACATGCAAGGCAAGCGCTCTACCACTGAGCCAGCTTCCCAGCCCTTGTTTGTTTGTTTTTGGCAGACATGGGGCTTGAACTCTGGGCCTCGGCCAAGTCCCTCAGTTCTTCAGCTCAAGGCTAATGCTCTACCACTTGAGCCATAGCTCTACTTCTGCTTTTCTGGTGGTTTGTTGGATAAATTGTTTCACAGCCTTTCCTGCTTGGGCTGGCTTTGAACCATGATCCTCAGATCTCAGCCTTCTGAGTAGCTATGTTGACAGGCGTGAGCCACTAGTCACTGGCTTCTATTTTTAATATTTAGACTGCATGACTATATTAAGAAGTCTTAAGAATAGTTTAAAAAATAGAAGGGTGAAATATGTTGAGATTATTTTAAGGAGAGGAGAGCAAGGGAGAAATAGAAGCTGTGAATCTGATCAAGATACATTGTATGGATGGATGGAAATGTCACAACCCCTTGTACTACTAATGTATTCTGGTTTAAAAAAAAAAAAAAAAGATGGGGCTGGGAAGTTGGCTCAGTGGTAGAGCACTTGCCTTGCATGCATGAGGCCCTGGGTTCGATTCCTCAGCACCACATAAGCAAAAAGAAAAAAAAAGCCGGAAGTGGCGCTGTGGCTCAAGTGGTAGAGCGCTAGCCTTGAGCTGAAGAGCTGAGGGACAGCGCCCAGGCCCAGAGTTCAGGCCCCACGACCGGGAAAAAAAAAAAAGATGGTTGATAAAGATTAACTTGGACTCCTCTGCTGCGTGCTATTTGAGGACACTGGCTCAGCTGCTTATTCTCACAGGCCTGGCCTGGCAGGATGGCAGTGCGGCCCCAGGTCTGGTGTCTGGCACTTCCCAGGCTCTGGAGTTACAGTAACCAATAGTCTCATTTTCCAGGAGCACCTGGCAGACATCTGGAGGCAGTGGAGGTCTCTGCCATGCCCCCCCCACCGTCTTACCCCTCACAGGACACTCCCCCTCACATGACTCCAGCTGGCATCTGCTCATCCAGTCCTGCGTTTTATTCCTTTGTCTCTCTCTGGAGGGCGAGGCTGTGGAGAGGTGACTGGCTCCGGGTCTCGGTGCTCTAGCACACAGCACAGCTTCCACACCAGAGGATCTCAGGGGGCCCCAGAGGGTCCTGCTCAGCTGCTCCTGGGGGGGGCGGGGGTCTGAAAATCTGCAACAGATATCTTAGTCTTCCTGGTAATGGGGAAATCGTCACATGGGAAGTAGTGTGACCAAATTTTATGTTTACTGCGTTTTTGTTGTTGTTGTTACCAGTATTGCTTTTTTCTGCTTGTTACAATCAGAAGTTTAAAAATACCCATATTCTGCTGACATTCTCTGAGTTAAAATTTAATGTGAACTGCAAAGGAACAGCCTCCAATTTTAGAAAACCAGAAGGCTCTGAAAGCCCTAAGAACAGCCAGCGGGGCTTGGGTCTGGGTGAGGGTATTGTTTCCAGCGGGGCTTGGGTCTGGGTGAGGGTACTGTTTCCAGTGGGGCTTGGGTCTGGGTGAGGGTATTGTTTCCAGCGGGGCTTGGGTCTGGGTGAGGGTATTGTTTCCAGCGGGGCTTGGGTCTGGGTGAGGGTACTTTTTCCCCCTCCGTGGGATTGCTTTCATCTTTTTTCAAAAATTAGTTTACTTGGGCTGGGAAGGTGGCTCAGTGGTGGAGCGCTTGCCTTGCATACATGAGGTCCTGGGTTCGATTCCTCAGTACCACATAAGCAAAAAGAAAAAAGCTGTAAGTGGTGCTGTGGCTCAAGTGGTAGAGTGCTAGCCTTGAGCTGAAGAGCTAAGGGACAGCGCCCAGGCCCAGAGTTCAGGCCCCATG